AGCCACCATCATCTCTACCGCCACCGCCACAAGTCTGGCAGACTTCACCACCATCAGTGTGACTTGCGATCTGGGTCTGACTCAGAATCTTGCTCTAGCTCACCCTCTAGCTCCAGCTCTGAGTCCTCAGAGGATGATGGCTTCTTCCTAGGGGAACGTATCCCACTGCCCCGGCACCTGTGCAGGCCCGTGCCTGCTCAGGACACTGCAACGGAGAGCCCCAACTTTCCATCTCCACCAACCCCTGCAATTTTGGGCCCAGGGATGCCTCGCCAGGCCAGAGACAAGAACTGCATAGTGGCTTGAAGGCAAGGCAGTCCTGGGGGGTTCCATTCTTCCATTCTCAAGTCAGTAGCTAACTTGAGAATAAATCCCCTTCCTCCCTCTGTGCCATTGAAGTAATTCAATATTTGGTGTAAAACAGGCCTGGCTTTTTTACCTCCTTGCTGTAGCTGTCCACCTTCCCAATTTTGCCCCTCCTGTTTGAGATTTATCCATATTTGATCAAAGGATTAATTTATTCATTATCATACAGTATAACAATCTGCTTATCATTTATTTATATTTATCCCTCCACAGAACCACCACCTCTCCATGCTGAAGTTTATTGGAGTGGGCCACAACCTAGGGGCTGAACTGTGAAATCTGAAGCACACTTCTCCCTCATTTTGTGGCTGAGGTGGGGGCATAGTCCAGGCAGAACTGGTGTCTGCTTTTGGATATTTGAGGAGGACCTAGACACAGCCATCAAGGTGGCCACACCCAGGATGGTTGATTGGCAGGCTGAAAGACAAATTCTGATAAAGGCACTTTTACCCCAATTAGGGGGCTGGGAGTTGGCTAGAAGTGTTTGTAGGGTTGGGGAGGAGTCATTTCAATGGAAGTGTTATTTGCAGGTTGCAGAGAGGAATGAAGGGAGTTCGCCTACACCGGGCCATCTGCAGGGTCTGCAAGTGAGGAAAAGATGGAAAGCAGTTGGCGGTATCCATATGACCATTTGACAAAAATACTGAAGCCTATGGTACTTATTGGCACTAAAGCCATAAGTACCAACAAAGGACAAAGCTGGCATTCATGCCCTTGGGATACCCCTTTCCTTCTCTCCTCAACCCTATCAACAACACACCCCTACATAGACACACACACACACACGCTTACTTACCAGTAGGGGCTGCTGTATGTCTTGGCTGCCTCAAGGGGAAGGTGAAATAGGCATCAAAGCCAAAGAGACACGCAGCAATTAGGCCCATCACCTGGAGGTGGGGATGGAAGTGAGGGGGTTGAATTAGGCTGGTCAGCCTACTCAGGCTCATCCTTCCTATCTCCAGGACTTCCTCTTGCTGGGATGGTGACTAAAGTCCCAGGTTGCGAAGCCAGAGAGCCACAAGAAAAGGTCAGGAAACTGGACTCTACCCCCACTCTCCCTTCTCCTAGTACTGTTCAACACAGGACAGCCACTTGGTGGCCCCACATACAAGTGGCACACTTAAGTGTACATTGAGACAAAGTTCTAGCAGATGGCAGTCTAGTGTGTTGACAAAGATCCTGTGTCAGGCAAGGGATAGCCCTTTTCAGCAAACAATGATCTTGGAAGAAAAACCAGGGCCTGGGCCAGACTTTCCTGCAGACACTGAGGACAAGTGTGGCCTGCTGTGGGTCACACACTTTCTGCCATAAGCAGAGACAGAAATGGCCCCTAGATCCTCAAATCTCTCTTTCTGTGCTTTGGAGCTGCCTGCACAGTCTTTACCCCTGCAATGATTTTGGAGTTGTTTCCTTTCTCAACGAGGACAACAATGGAGATGATCAGGTAGAGAATGGCCGCTACAAGGGCTCGGAAGAAATCCTGTAAGGGGTAGGGAAAAAGGGGAAGTCAGTGTCCAGAGTGCCAGGACAATCCCAACTGTCAGGACCCCTCCCATGCCTAGCCATTTCTGGCCCCTTTCTCACACTCCAAGGCCAGTTGATGATTTTTATCCTGGTGTTCAGGTCACACATGTAGATGACAAAGAAGACAGCGGCAAGGATCATCTCAACCACTGACAGAGAGAAGTATGCCGATGTGGAGGCGATGAAGCAGATCAGAATCACCAGGCACAATATCTAGAAGGAAAACATGAGGAAGGGGCCCTCCATCAATTCCTAGGGCTGTGGGGATGGGTTAAACCAGGGGTCTCAAACTCAGATGCCTACCAAGACTGAGAAGATGAATAATCATAGCTACACACTTACTGTGTGTTCATTGTGTTCCAAATATTGTTCTAAGAGCTGTGCAAGTATTAATTCACTTAATGATCCCAACAACCTAATATGTTGGGTACTGTTATTAGTATGTTTATTTTATAGGTGAGATAAGTGAGACACAGGGACGGTAAGTGACTTGCCCAGGGTCACCTCGCTAATAAGGGGTAGAGTTGGGCACCTCAGTTCCTCCCTCTTTTCCAAGATAAGGGCGGCCTGCAGGGAGTGGCCCCGCCATGTGTTTTGAGAGCACTGCTGGAGCCAGCTTAGGGCCTTGACGGGGGCGGGACGTGCAGTTACTCCGGCAACCCCTTTGGGAAGCGGTGAGAGTGACAACGGAGGGGCAGGGCTCCGGTTAAAGGCATCGCGCTCCATTTACAAGTAACTCAAAGGCGGCACCCACTTTAAGGGGGGCGGAGAAACGAGGCTCGGGATAGCTAAGGACCTCCCACCCCACCACAGTAGGGCAAGAAAGAACCAGAGAACGGCGGAGCACCCTACCCCGAGGGACAGGCTTGGGGCTCCACCCCAACAGGCCCCGCCCCTGGGCGCCCCGCCAGCCCGCCCGACCGTGCCTAGGCCGCGCCACGCCCTGCCGCGGGATGCCCCCCACCTCTCAGCCCCCTGACACCCCTTCAATGAGCCCATGGGTGAGTCTACGCGGTCTACCACCACGGCGTCCCCCATATGCACCATGGACCCCTGGCTTCATCCCTTTGCCCAGCAGCTCCCAACCACCTTCTTCAAACCCCAGTGACTCTCTCTGCGCCCCTGGTTTCGGGCTTCCGCCACTAACCTACTTCCCCCCAGTCCCACTGCCCAGCGTCTCGGGCCATGCGCCTGCCTCACCCGGGGCCGCCCGGTTTCGCATGATCCAGCTTACTACACCCCGCCTTTGCCCACCCGCCAGTTCAGGGACTCTCACAATCTCAGCAAACAGAAGAATTCCTTTGAGGGTGCGCGCGAAGTTGGTGCAGGCAGCCCAGCAGCCGGGGGCCGAGAAGCGCTCGGAATCCGCCATGGCGTGGGCCGGAGTCCCTAGGGGCGCCAATGATCTGCTCGCTTTCTCGCAGGTTCGAGGACACTGTACACCCAGCCGTCTAGCCTGCCGTTTGTCCAGGAAGGGGGCCCAGGGGCCAAGAAGGGAGTGAATCACCACGCCGAACAGAAGCAGGCGGGGCCTGAGGGGGCCGGGCCAGGTGGCTGCCGCCCCGGAAGCCCCCTCGCCCCGCCTGCCATGGATAGTCCCCACCCGTAGCACAGCCACTGGGCACCTCATCTCCGCAGATGCCAGCCTTTGAGGCTTGGCACTTCAGGGTACTTTGAATGGTAATGGCGAGACTTTTCACTGTTTTAGAATACAAATGTACCTGAAGCTGCTACATCTCAGAATTGAGGGGAGCTTGCCTTTGGGAGTGACTTAATTTCCTTCACGATAGAAAAAAAAAAAAAGTCGAGGTCCTATTGAAACTCAGCTATGTTTCCAGAACTCGGAATATTTCAAAATTTGAAAAAATTTCCCAGTGCATATATGATATATTACTTAACAGTCAGTGGGGAGTGAAGCTGCCCCATTTCAAAAAAAAAAGTTAATATTTCCTTCAAAGGTGTGGACATTCACAGTAAGTGGAATAAGTTAGGACTGAAAATTGTGCCTCATAAGGTCAGGTCAGGTTTTGTAACCAAATGGTGTGCCAAATCGTGGGAAGACTATCAGTTTCCAGAGCTTTGGGGACTTCAGAATTGCAGATAAAAGATGGTGGACCATGGAATAAAACTCTTAGTAGGGATGGGAATAAGACCTCTGGTGCACAGGCCAAGAGAGAACAGGGCCTGGTGAGCATCAAGCTGCTCTGTAAATGGAGGGGAACATCATCAAGAATAGTGTCAGAGCCCAGGGTCTGTCTGATTCTCTGTTCTGCAATCCTAGGGAAGTCCGGTTTTCTGGTTCTGAGGAGGGGGGCCGTCAGCCCAACCCTAGATGAAGAATGGAAAAGGATCATGGGTTTGATTACTGGGAGCTTGGCAAAATGAGGGGAAGGTTTGTGGAGTACCAGGCTGGGTGACAAGGCTGACGACATTTGGAGAGTATGTTACCCTGAGCAAGGAATTTCTTCTGATTCACCCTATTTCTGCATGTGAGATCGGCACCTGGTTACAGGAATCTGGATCTCCCCTAAGATGAGCTGGGGGCCATACTCTCTAGACTGGACATTGCTTTTATTCTCATCTCATTTGACGAGGCAAGAGTTGTGACTGGAAGGCCAGGATAGTTCAACCCGATGGCTTGCCTGATCTCCATTTCCTAGCCCCAGGCCCCTCAAAACCAAAGAAGGGGCTCCCCTCTTTCAGCCCAGTGAAAAAGTAATTGGATAGTGGAAGGGATGAAACATACTTTTTCCCAGTGCTCGGTGTGTGCTTTCCGACTCTGTGAAGACATGCTTGAGTTTTTAGAACATAACATGCTTTGCTATGCATCAGGGCCTTTGCACTTGATGTTCCTACTGCTGTCAGCACCCTTCCCCCAGACCTTTCTACATCTGGCTTCTGGTCATCCAGGTCCCAGCTCAAATGTTATGTCTTTAAAGAGGCCAGCAGCCCTTCATAATTACCTTCTCCAACAAAACCTCCTTGCTGTCTTCATAACTCTCACTTCCTTCTTTTTTTCAGATTTATTTATTTATTTTAGAGAGGGGAAGGGAGGGAGAAAGGGAGAGAAACACTAATGTGTGGTTGCCTCTTGAGTGCCCCCCTCCAGGGACCTGGCCCACAAACCAGGCATGTGCCCTAGACTGGGAATCAAAGCAGCAACCCTTTGGATCAGAGGCCAGTGCTCAATCCACTGAGTCACACCAGCCAGGGCTCACTTCCTTATGATATTAGTAATTTTCCTATCTCTTCTGACATATCTTACCCCCAGTACATCAACTACACAAGGATAGAAATATTTATGTTTTTCCCCCAGCATTGCCCTAGTGCCTATCACAGTGCAAGGTAAACAGTTGGAGTTGATTCATACTTCTCAAATGAAGGTGAGATTAAGGCTTAGGAATCAGGCCTTGATTAAATCTTGCTTCAACACCCCCACCCAGCTACATATACTTGTTGTGCCTCACTTGCCTCCTCTGTGAAATGGACATATTAAGATTAGTTAATAGATGTGTAACTAGATGGAAATAGTGCAAGTGAAGCCAGTAGCAGGGATAAGGCCAAGTAAATGGTGGCTGGGGTTACTATTGTTAGTCTCCTGAACTGGGGCTCAGCAGTCCTTTCCTTACTTCTGTGGAACCATACCTCTACCAAGCTCTGAGTCAGGGTCCACTTCTTCACCTCTTTTTTAAAGATGTTATTTATTTATTTTTAGAGATAGGGGAAGGGAGGGAGAAGGAGAGGGAGAGAAACATCGATCAGTTGCTTCTCTCACACCCACCCCAACAGGGGTCAGCAAACCAGGCATGTGCCCTGGCCAGGAATTGAACCAGCCACCCCTTGGTTTGTAGGATGATGCCCAACCAACTGAGCCATGCTGAGGTGGCTCACCTCTTTATAACCCAACTCCCAGCCTGGCTTTGCAGTCCTTCTCTCCTCTCGAGGGCTGCCCTGGATGCTCACTCACACTCTGGTCCTTTAATTTCTCTCCCCACTCCTGGCCCCTCCCCATAGGAGTGAAAACTGCCCATTGACCACAGCTTCCCTTGTTGGGGAGATGAGGCCAAATGTTCAGGATGTGGTGACAGTGAAGGTGACTGCATATTTCTGGCCTCAGACAGCACCGGTTTGGGAGCTACCCAGATTGGAGTCCTCCTGGCCATATAAGCCTGGGCTTTAGGGCTCTGTTCCCAGGATGGAGGAAACTCTGGCCTCTCCCAGGACCGGGAACGCCCAGCATGTGGCTTGTGCACACAAGTACGGCTGCAGTTTGTCACCATCTATGGAAGAGGGGGGAGAAGCCTAAAGGTTCTAACAGCTGTTTTTAGCTCAGCCCGCTGAGTCACACCTACCTGGCTCCACCCCAAAGGGGCCCCAGGGCCCCAGCCCTTGCCCTGAGGGTGTCAGACCGGAAGTAAGAGACCACAGGCTCCTGAAGAAGGAAGCCACCCAGTTTCTAGCTTTGCTATCCAGCCACTGCCAAGGGTCTAGGTGATTCAGGACCAAGGCTGTGGGTATAACTGTTGTTCTCTCACCATAACAGGCCCCCCTCTGCATTCCACACACATGCTCAATAATTATCTGTGAGCCCTGCACACCTCCAAAAAGAAGTGAAATTAATGACTGGGTAGAGAAGCAAGAGTTCTCGAAGAGAAACAGTGGGGAGAAAGCATGCCAGGCTGAGGACCGGCAGAAGCAAAAGCCCCTCTAGAAGCATGAAAGAAGCAGCATTTATCAGTGGTTGCAAGAAGAGGCCCTCTTCAAAACAGGATTGACCCTCCCCCTCCTTTACCAGGTGGACTTGGGAGCCCCACCCAGCCTAGAGCACCTGGCAAGTCAAGACAGATCGGCAGATTTATTACCTCCCCACCCCGAAATGCCAGGCTGGCGGGTCTGGAAGGGCTGTGCCACTGACACCATGAGGGGAGTATGGGCTGGTCAACTGTGCAGCAGGAGGGGGGACAAGGCCAAGTGGTGGTTCTGCTTGCAGTGCTAATGCATGGCTGACAGAGCAAGCCTGATTCAAGTGAGGCAGTACCAAGTGAGCATGCAGCCATCAGATGTTAGATGATGCTTAGTGCCTCCGCCTTCCAGCTGCCATCTCCAGAGCAAGCTGTGTGGCCCCTGGGACACCTAGGGCCTGCGAGAGCCGTTCCTGGCTAGGCACCAGCCAGGGTCCTGGGGAACCCAGGGATTGGTGGTCTGTGTCCCCCTGGCGGAGCTCAGGAGGAGGAACAGTGTGGCTGTCAGCTGCCCCCTCTGGGCTAGGCTCTGAGCTGCCCCAGGTCTTGGGTGTTGTACAGGATTGAGGCTGCAGAAGTGGGGAGGCGCTGGCCCTAGGAGATCTCATCACCTCTGGTCCCCCAGGATCTGGACTGCAATCTGAGAATGGTAGGAATGCAGATTAGATTAAGTGACAGGGTAGGGTACAGAGAGCTGGGCCCCAGGGTGGCCAGGAGAATCTTAAGTGCTGAAGGAGACAGAGACAACTCCCCTTAGAAAAACCTTCCATCAAGGCCTGGACACATCCCCTCAGGAAACAATACCACCCCACAAGACCCCCAATATCTCCTTTCCAGAGACCCAGCCCCTCCTGGATCCAGAACACACAACTCAGAAATCACTTCCCACAATACCCAAAGGAAATCGAACCCCTCCCATCTAAGTTCCCAAACTCCCCTTGCACAACCCACCTCCCTCTAATCCCTGCCCTTTCCCTTATGAACCCCTTGTCTTTAGGAACTAGACCCCCTACTTTCTACATCCCCATCCCATCCCCTTGCTGCTAATACCACTCAGACTTCTTCTCCAAGGTCCACAACCCTTCCTTTTGAATACCTGCTTTTATTCCAGGCCCCTTCCTTCCTCCCCACTCCCACTACCTCCCTTCTGAAATCCACCTTTATTCTCGTCATGGGACCCTGCCTTCCCTGACCCTACTTTTGAGAATGCCATGACCCCCTCACAGACACCAAACCCCCAACCCTCCCCACTGAGACCACCAAACCCATCTCACCCAGGACCCCAGACTTTCTCTACCCTGAAACCCTCTCTATCCCCTCACAGATCCCACACCCCTCTCCCCTGGGAAACCCACCGTCTCCTTTCCGAGGTCTTTCCCCCATCTCAGGCTTGCTGTGGTGCGTATCAAGAGGTCTGCTCAGCACGAGGTGGAGCCGGGACCCACCTGTGCGAATTCGCTCCACAACCTGGGCATGGGTGAGGCCCTGGGTTGACTGTCCATTCACATGGAGCACAAGGTCACCGGGCTACAGAAGTAAAAAGTCATGGGTGTTGTAGGAAGGGCAGATTGGGAGCACCCCAACAAAGGATGAGGTCAGGGGTAGCACCATGGAATGGAGGGTGCCTTATGGCTCACCTGCAAACGACCACAGCACTGTGCTGGCCCGTCCTTCAGCAGCCCGCGTATTGCAAGTGGAGTGTCTGTGCCTGCGTCTCGGCCTCCACTTAGTGTGAGGCCAAAGCCTGCAGAACCACGAACCAGCTCCACACAGAACGGACCAGAGGCCTGAGGCGGCTTCGAAGCCTTAAACTGAATCACTTGGGATGGCGCCGTGCGTGTACCCAAGGTCTCTGACCGACGATGCTGGAGTAAGGACACGAGTGTACATACATTGCCAGTCTCTAGGCACGTGACCTCGATTAGGAGGACTAGGTGGTACCTGAGGCCGTTGTTCCATGAAAGTGGGATTAGGCAAGCGACTGTCCGTGACCTCTATGTCCGCAGAATCCAGCTCGTTAGTGGCTGGGGGATGAAAGATGAAATCCAGGGTCCAACTGCATGTAAACTACCTAGATCCTACCCCATGAGTTGCCATTCTAGCCTTATCTCATTAACTTGCATCTAGATTACACAGACAGAATCGCCCACCCATTTAGTGAGGCTCTGCATACTCATATAACTGTCTTGATCTCGATTTCTTAAATAATTATCCTGGTCCCAGCTATTTGAATCATTCTCCATATATTCCTACTTCCCTCTAATAACATGCAGACCCCAACCCTCAAATAAACCATAGGTCCACCTTGGAGGGTGCATAGCCAGGATTTGACCCGTGAACAATTCCAGGCTCCATTCTTTTATAGTCTATAAATATCAATCAATCCTGTCATTTCCAGCCCCACCCCAAGCATTTATAGGCTCTACCCTAAGCTAAGTGCCCTCCATTCAAAGCCTCCTTCACGAAGATGAGGAGGATCCTTGCATCCTCAACTAATTTGTCAACATTCACCTACTGCAATAACCCTCCCAGTGTCACTTCCTAGAGGAATATGCTAGGGTAACCCCAAGTCCCAGCCACCTCGAATCCCGCTCCAAACCGGGTCCTCCTAACTCACCTACCACTTCATAACCTGGCTGCACTCCGACCCCGCCCCCCGGGAAGGCCCCGCCCCAACACGCACCGTCCTTGGGGCGCAGGCGCAATGTGGCGCCCGCCCTGCGAACCAGCGCCGCCACGTCGGCCGCAGCTCGGGCCGCCAGGGGGCGCGCGTCCAGCCGCGACAGGAGCTGCCGAGCGCTGGGGCTGGCCCGCTTGGGAGCGCGGCGGCCTGCGCGGGAGGGGGCGGGGGAGAATAGGTCAGCACAGACCCCGAGCCTCGGTGCACCACCACACTCCTCTACGTCCGAAGACCTAGATGCTCCTCAGGGTCCCCGGAGACCTCAGGCCCTCCCTCGATAGTTCCGGGAGGCCGCCGACTGTCCCTCTCATCTGCCGCTAGCCCCAGCCATCGCGTGTGCTCCCGTGGACCCCCGCCGGCCTTCACGATATCCCTGGCGGCAGCTACGTGACCGCAGTATTCCTGGACACTCCGAAGACCGTGTGACTATCTCTGGAACTTTCCAACTGCCCCTTCGTCACCCCTGATTCCAAACTCTTACCCCGCAATATCAGGAGGGTCCCCGATTTCCCCAGATGTCCTAAGAGAACACGGTCTGCCCCCCTGTGGCCCCAGGACTCAGGACTCACCCTCCAGATGCCCTAGGCAATCCTCGTGGCCCACGCCGGGGCCCCAGATTGCCCTCCACTTATCCCCAGAGGCCCCAGTCTAAACACCTGCCATTCGCTGTAGACCGTGAAGTGCTCAGGCATCCCCAGTGACCCCAAGCAGACCCCTCCAGCACATCTCCCCGGAGACTCCTGAGAGCCCCCGGAGCTGGTGCGCAGCCCCGTGGCGTGGCGCGGGTGCAAGTACTGAGAGGGGGGCCTCGAACCCAGCCCGGGTCGCTTGGCCCCCTGTCCGCAGCCGCCGCCATCGCCGCCGCCGCCACCGCTGCCTGGGTACCAGGCTGCCTGGTTTACCACCTATCCAAAGGGAACGGGGAAGGAGCAGACAGGCAGGGCGAGGTGCAGCGGGGACGCGCCCATCTCACCCCCACCCCAGTACCTCCTCTGCTCCCCCTAGGGTCCGTGGTGTCCCCCGCACGCGGCTCCATGACCCAGAGTGATCCGGGTGGACACACAGCCGCCAGCGACACGTTCTGAGCGCCCGTGCGCGCGCGCTCACCTGGCTGCCAGCCCGGGCCTGGACGCAGTGAGGCCAGCCTGTTCCGTGCCGGGCACCCCAGCCCGCGCGATGACCTACCTGGCGGCCTGCAAGGAGGCGTGGCTGTGGGCGCCCGCGCAAGGCCTCGCTGTGCCTCAGGGGCGCCTCTGTTATCCCAGGACCCTGGAGTAGGGTCCTCCTGCCACCCAGAGGATGTTGTTATTTCATGTATGAAAAAGGGAAGCTGATACCCCGAGAAGTGTAGGGCCCTGCCTGAGCCCTGACACCTAAAAAGGGGATGCAAAACTGGAACCCAAGTTATCTGGGAATTCTGTCACCTCCAACAGAGCTTTGCATATAGCAGACACTCAGTAAATTTGCAATGAGTATCTGCCTAAGCCCATCCCTACTGGGGAACTGGAAGGGTATGGGTGGCTGGGGAGGGGCCACCCTTGGAACCTTTGGGGACATGGGAGGGCCTATGGCCCTGAGCCTGATAGGGCTGGGGGCTCAAAAACCGGGGAAGGATAGGCTCCATGGAGAGTGCAGAGCCAGTAGTAGGGTCCTGTACTTGAGGGGTCTTTGAAGGCACCTGGGTTGCAAGGGACACCAACCAATGAGAAGGGAGAAATGAAGCCCTTCTGAAGTTTGAGAAGGTGGAGGTGGGGTCTGGGGACACAGTCCTCAAGGGGAGAGCACCTGCACACAGTACTACTGTAGTGGAGGGAGGAATGCGGACCAGTGAGAGATGGCCTGTGGCCACCACTTTGTGGAGAAAGATACTGAGGGCTGGAGGGGCTCAGGCACCTGCCCAGAGCCCAGCAGCCTGTTGACAACAGTACTGGTCTCAGGCAGCTAGCTCATCCCCAACACTCACTTGGTCCATGATTATTCCACTGTGGGCTGTGGACATACTGTGTCCTGATGTCCATTATGGCTGGCTGGGCAACCTTTCTCATCTACCTGTCAGGGTCCCACTGTTGTCATAGGTGGAGGAGGCTGAAGGTCTTTGTTTTCATTCCTCCTGCAGGCTCCTGCCTCTCCCACCTCTGACCTGGCCTTATCTGTGGAGGTACATACTGGACCTCCTTCACTGCTCCACCCCATTCTTGAGACTTCAGGCATTGCAGACGAAGGGAGCAGCTTCCATTCCTGGGCTTGGGGTTTCCAGAACTGATGGATTGGGTAGGAAGGTGCTTACAGACTGGGAAACAGGAGACTGAGGTTCTGCAGATCCCTAATGGGTGGTCTTGCAGACTGCAGCATTATTGAATAGCTAGAATGCATGGATGGTGAGGGGAGGCTGCCAAGCATTGGGAAACCTCAATGCTTCAGAAATAGGACAGGGAGCTTGACAACTGGATGGATGCTCAAGGGTCTGCAGGTGGGGAATTTCTTCCACACTGAGAAATGCTTAGTCCTGGAAGATTCTGTGAAGCAATAGGGTGTCCAGGGACAGCCTCTAAGGATAAATTGTAGGGATAGGGGAGGGGATTCTCTGAGAACGAGGTCAGAAGGGATGCAAATCTGGGGACAGTAGCAAGAATTGGGGTTGAGGTAACAGTGCTCTGGTTACTGAGAATGTTGGCAGGGTTGGAACCCGGACAGAAAACAGAGCGAGGCCTTGCGTGGGCGCCCACAGCCACGCCTCCTTGCGGGCCGCCAGGTAGGTCATCGCGCGGGCTGGGGTGCCCGGCACGGAACAGGCTGGCCTCACTGCGTCCAGGCCCGGGCTGGCAGCCAGGTGAGCGCGCGCGCACGGGCGCTCAGAACGTGTCGCTGGCGGCTGTGTGTCCACCCGGATCACTCTGGGTCATGGAGCCGCGTGCGGGGGACACCACGGACCCTAGGGGGAGCAGAGGAGGTACTGGGGTGGGGGTGAGATGGGCGCGTCCCCGCTGCACCTCGCCCTGCCTGTCTGCTCCTTCCCCGTTCCCTTTGGATAGGTGGTAAACCAGGCAGCCTGGTACCCAGGCAGCGGTGGCGGCGGCGGCGATGGCGGCGGCTGCGGACAGGGGCCAAGCGACCCGGGCTGGGTTCGAGGCCCCCTCTCAGTACTTGCACCCGCGCCACGCCACGGGGCTGCGCACCAGCTCCGGGGGCTCTCAGGAGTCTCCGGGGAGATGTGCTGGAGGGGTCTGCTTGGGGTCACTGGGGATGCCTGAGCACTTCACGGTCTACAGCGAATGGCAGGTGTTTAGACTGGGGCCTCTGGGGGATAAGTGGAGGGCAATCTGGGGGCCCCGGCGTGGGCCACGAGGATTGCCTAGGGCATCTGGAGGGTGAGTCCTGAGTCCTGGGGGCCACAGGGGGGGGGGCAGACCGTGTTCTCTTAGGACATCTGGGGGAAATCGGGGACCCTCCTGATATTGCGGGGTAAGAGTTTGGAATCAGGGGTGACGAAGGGGCAGTTGGAAAGTTCCAGAGATAGTCACACGGTCTTCGGAGTGTCCAGGAATACTGCGGTCACGTAGCTGCCGCCAGGGATATCGTGAAGGCCGGCGGGGGTCCACGGGAGCACACGCGATGGCTGGGGCTAGCGGCAGATGAGAGGGACAGTCGGCGGCCTCCGGAACTATCGAGGGAGGGCCTGAGGTCTCCGGGGACCCTGAGGAGCATCTAGGTCTTCGGACGTAGAGGAGTGTGGTGGTGCACCGAGGCTCGGGGTCTGTGCTGACCTATTCTCCCCCGCCCCCTCCCGCGCAGGCCGCCGCGCTCCCAAGCGGGCCAGCCCCAGCGCTCGGCAGCTCCTGTCGCGGCTGGACGCGCGCCCCCTGGCGGCCCGAGCTGCGGCCGACGTGGCGGCGCTGGTTCGCAGGGCGGGCGCCACATTGCGCCTGCGCCCCAAGGAAGGTGGGTGTCCTAGTTCCGTACAGGACTACGAATCTCTAGAGGAGGTCTATTTTATTAGCATTACCAGAGCTTGTCGAGTATTAAATCTGGCATCTGCAGGCATCATTGACATGTCTATTGTTTAGGGTATTTCTTTATTTTACATCTTTATTATTTATTATTGTACACAACTGGCATTCACAGATTTTTTTTAATTATCTTACCCACACTTCCCACACCAGTAGAGCACAGTCACGTGCACAAAGTAGACAATCAATAAATAGCTGTCAAATTCCTACACGAAAGAATGAATACCTGGCAAGAATGAGTCTACTTCCTACCACTCCTAACTTCCTGAAGAATTGTATTTCCCGTATGCAGGGTGCGACGCAGTTCTATGAAGTAAAGGAGCGACACTTACTTCCCACGTCCCAGTAACCGCCTCCGTCTGTCAGATGCCGCAATGTTTTATGGGAAAAGTAGTTCTAGAGCTCGTCTTTCGGCCCCCAGCAAACTTAGCCGAAACTGAACTTCCCAACAAGCCTTGCACCCGCCTGGGAAGAGAGGCAAGATGGCGGAACGCGAAGAAGGTGTTTTGCGGTCGGCTGGACACTCCACTGCCCCAGTTTCGTTCACCTTCAGTCGCACTGCCGCCCGAAAACGGCTGGCAGACCGTGGAGTCGGCATGGGTGCGGCTCCAGAAGAGAAGGATTTCTTGAGGACTGTGGAAGGGAGAAAATTGCAGAGGTGATGCTCTGGGTCTTTCATCCCTTGGAAATAGGTGCGGTGGGTGCAAGCGGGAGGGTGCAATCAGAATTGATTGTCTTGGTGATAGTGGCCTGGAAAGCCTAAGTATGTCTGAGGAAACTCGTGGAGGCGAGGAGACTGGAGTTTGTAGGGCAACTGAAGAAATTGAGACTGATGGCCGTGGGGATTGGCAAGAGAGAATACATCCTGAGAGGGAGTGTCTTTAGGATTTGGGAACCCTGAGGTGTGTGCGTTCTGAGACAAGGAAAGGAGAGAATGACAGGACCCTTAATGTCTCACCTGAAGTGGTGGGGCTTCTCCGGTATGGGGAATGGGATGGAGTGGCAGATTGAGGTTGGGGGAGGCCACCATCAGCTTAATTTGGAAAGGAGGAGTAGTATGGTCAGTGGGTCCTGAGCCACACCCCCAGCTTAATTCGGGGGTCTGAGGAAAGGAGAGACTTCACGAAGAGAATCTACCATCGGGAGGTTGGTGTGGAGCCTGGAAATAGAAGGAGAGTGTGGACTTAAGGTGGTCATTTGCGGGTCATTGTGGAAGCCATGGACTGAGGACTGATTCCTCAAAGGCACAATTAAGAGTTGGGTGTGGAGAAGGGAATCCAAAGAAGGCACCATCAGAGACATAACTGGAGAACCAGACAGAACAGAGGGAGAGTGTGGTTTGTGGGACAGGGTGGGAGTGAGTTTGGCTCTTGTGTTTTCTCTGAATGAAGGGGTGTAGCTCAGCACCCACTGACCATACTACTCTCCGGACCTCATTCCTCTGTGTCCACATCAGTGTGAATCCCGCAGAAGCCCCCAAGGAACTCGTCATCCCTTTGATCCAGAGTGGCTCTCGAAGACAGCCACCAACCCAGGCCCCTGGCCCATCCACAGATGTGGAGGCCAGGGCAGATGGGATGCTTTCCCAGGCTGTGAAGGAGCTCATTGAGGGTGAGTGATCCCCCTTTGCCTTGCTCTGGTGAAGGAATGGGAGAAAAGTAGAAGGACATGGTGGGACCTCATTGCTCACTCCCATTCTTCCTTAGAATCCAAGAAGTCTCTGGAGGAGATAGAGAATGCAGGTGTCGACCCCACGCTCGCTATCCCTATGATCCAGAAAAGATGTACCCCCAACGAGGAAGGGTCAGACAGCGAGCCCCAGGCTGAGACAGTGAGCTGGCCCCTCACCCCCCTTCTATCCCAGCCTCTCTTTTCCATGTATGCCAGCCTCACCTCCCTGTACATCCTTCGGGGAAAGCCTATATGTACTAGAGGCCTGCTGCCTATTCCTTTAGCCTTCCATCCTTTGGAATGTTGGAGGTACACCAAGGAGACTGAACGGGAAGGAGTGGAATGAGTAAAAGGGATGGGTAGTAGATGAGGTCAGAAGTGGGGATTAAACCAGGTAGGGCCTTGTGGGGCATGGTAAGGACTTTGGATTTTACTCTGAATGAGATGAGAGCCATGAGAGGGCTCTGAGCATAGAAGGGACAAGACTTAGGATTTGACAGGATTTCTCTGGTGTCTTTGAGCAGAACAAATTAATAAGCCGAGATGGAAGCAAGGAGACCAGTAGTCCAGGCTACAGTTGATGGAGACTGAGACCAGAGTGGTAGGACCGAGACCTGGAAGGTCAGGTAGGGTTTAGTGAAAAAGGGAAGAGCAGGGTGAGTACTCCTAATGGCAGCAACAACCCAGACAATGGCATGGTGGCAGGAAGTCGATGTGGTATGTCTCCAATAGTGAGACAACTTATGGCGTGTCTGGAGTGAGTATCAAGAATTGAGGGGGTGATGATGGGAGGTGAGAACATGAGAGGTGACGGCTGTGTCTACAAGGTTTGTGCCTTTCATAGCTGTGGACTTAGTCTTTTACCTCTTCATTCACAATTTGTTTTCAAATTTTTTATTTTCACACAGAGGAGAAGGGAGGAAGAGAGGGAGAGAAACATCAATGTGTGATTGCCTCTCCTGTGCCCCTACTAGGGATCTGGCCTGCAACCCAGGCATGTGTCCGGACTGGGAATCAAACCAGCAACCCTTTGGTTCACAGGCCAGCACTCAATCCACTGAGCCATACCAGCCAGGACCACAATTTTTTTTGTGATGCTTCTTTGGAGCCTAGTTTTCTTACAGCCCCAGACCACCATCTCTTTTGACTGAACAGTTCTCATGAGCCTTCAGATGTCCTCTGGTTTCTTTCATCATAAAAGAGAAAAAAAAAAAAAACTTTTACTTCACTCTCCATCCTGTTCTAGCTTTGGCCTCATTTCTCTCATTTTTTCTCCTCTTGAAGCCTTCCACATCTCAATTGATCACAATTTTATCCATCCCTCCTCTCAGCCAATTTTTTTAAAAAGTTACAAAAGGAAGAAAACATTTAAATTAAAAAAAACACCTTTGACTCCCTCTTTATTTTATACCCCATAAAATGTCAGCAGAATTCTATCATGTCCCTTTCCAAAATACATGTAGGATCTGACCACTCCTCCCCATCACTACCACCAACCAGCATGCTGGTCTGAACCACTAACATGTCTCATCCGGACTGTTACAGTTTCTTACTTGCTGGTCCTCCTTGTGTTTGCCACCCTCTTGTGACTCCTGCTGAGCTCTCCTAATTAATTTCTTATCATTCTTCTCTGCCTCCACATCTCTGTTTCAGTCAGGTTGACTTTCATGATGCTTTTCACACATACCAAATCTTCCCCTGCCTCAGGGCCTTTGCTCTTAACTGTTCTCCCTGCTTGAAACACTCTTTCTTACATTCTCATGGCTTTCTGCCATCTCCTTCTGGCCTCTGTGCAAATACCAACTCAGTGACACTGCATTCTTCATCTTTTTCATCTCCTTAACCTGCTTAATTTTCCTGCATATAACTTACCACAACCTGACATACCACGTTTTATGTATTTTATTTATTCTGTGTCCTACAGCTGGAACATAAATCCTACAGGGACAGGATTTTTTGTCTGTTTTGTTCACTACTTTATCCCTAGTACCTAGAACAGTACCTGACACTGGGTACCTTGTAAGCATTTGTTGAAGGACTGACCTGGAGTATTAAAGGAGGGATGGCAAGAGGAAATCAAAAGTTACCCGTGAGTCCTGACTGGCGTGGTTCAGTTGGTTGGGTACTGCCCCTCAAACCCCGAAAGGTCACTGGTTCAATTCCTCATTGGGGCACATGCCTGGGTTGTAGGTTCAGTCCCCATTCAGGGTGCATGCTAATCAATATTTCTCTCTCATATTAATGTTTTTCTCCCACATTGATATTTCTCTCCCTCTCTTCCTCCCTTCTCCTCTCTCTAAAAATAAATAAAATATTTTATTTATAAAAGCTAACTTGAGCTGACTAGAAAAGAAGCATTGAAGCCCTGGCTGGCATAGCTCAGTGGATTGAGCGTGGGCTGCGAACCAAAGTGTCGCAGGTTCGATTCCCACCCACGGTACATGCCTGGGTTGCAGGCCATAACCCCCAGCAACCGCACATTGATGTTTCTCTCTCTCTCCCTCCCTCCCTTCCCTCTCTAAAAATAAATAAATAAAATCTAAAAAAAAAAAAAAAGAAAAGAAGCATTGAAGGTCACCAGTAGGTGATAGCAAATTCACATCAGAGGGCCTATGATAAGCAAAGCCTGATTGTCATTCCTCCACCTGAACCCACAGGTGCCCAAGGAGGCCGATTACGAGGCAGTCCCTGTGGAGGCATATGGGCTGGCCATGTTGCGGGGCATGGGCTGGAAACCTGGCCAAGGCATCGGCCGAACCTTCAGTCAGTGAGTTCTGGGGTAGGGCCGTAGGGACAACAGACAAGGCAGTGAATGAGACCCCTGTGATTATCATCCATCCAGAACCATCTAGGCATGGGACGGGCACATTACCATCGTAACCGATTCAGTAGTCTCTTCCACTACTATTTCAAATTCCTGTTTGCCCTTTGAAACTCCATAATGGAATTCCATTTATGGAAGATTGCCTGTCTGGGCATCAGCTTCCTTATGTGAAAAATGGGGGCTCCCTTCCTCCCAGAGCAGGCTCGCATCTTTCCCTTCCCCCTTCATCTCCCAGGTGCGTTACCTTTAGCTTTCTGTGTCCTAACAGTGTCCCCAGCTTTAGTAAGTGTACATCAAAATTTTAAAAATGAGGATAATAACAGCATTGACTTCCCAGGTCTGTTGTGATAGTTCAGTGAAATTATACATGTAAAGTACTCACAGTAGGTGCTGACCCCAAATAAGCACAGACTAGACATTTGTTATTATCACACAGACTTATAATTCCTTCTCTACAGTTCTAAATGCCAAAGAATTCTGAAAACCAGTTTTTTCCATAAACCTTTTGGCAGCAAAATGTGACCTGAATTGACAGTGTTTTATAGTGTGTTTTACCTGCTAGGGGTGAATATCTCTATGGTTTCCCCTGTACAAATAGTGTATTTGGTTATATTATATATCTTATATAATGGATGGCATACGTAGCACATTTTTAGGCTGAGCCAAATGAAATTGACATTTCTGTAGGTCAGAAGCAATCCTGACATGAAATGGGGGAGTACATTCTTAAAAATACAGAAAGGGTGGGATTTGGGTAGGGGTTGGGGGCAGGTAGAGCATTAAAGACTGTAACATCCCCCAACAAGCTCATATTCTGTGCTCCCTACAGAGTAGTGAAGCCTCGTGTCAACTCACTGAGGCCTAAAGGGTTAGGGCTGGGCGCCAGCCTGACTGAGGTCCAGGCCCTGGCCTCCAGTGGCCCCCACCGCCTGCCAAAGCCAGATGAGGAACAAGAGAAAGATAAGGAAGACCAGTGTCAAGGACTGGTTCCTGGAGGAGCTGTGGTGGTTCTTTCTGGCCCTTACCGAGGCCTCTATGGGAAGGTAAGAAACCAAGATGTTCTTGGAGCCCAAGACAGGCAGCAGGGAAGATTTATGTGAGGGATAGAACTAAGAAGAATTGGGTTTGGGGTAGAAAGCCTGGAAGTCCTTGTCTTTTGGGCCTGCCTGGCTCATTGCCTCATTTGGTAACTCAGGACCATTTGCTAGGTCTTTCTGAGCCTCAGTTTCTAGCTGAAGGGGAGAGAATACTATATGCCACAAGTCCCTAAGGATTAAATGCTTAAAGTATGTCTAAGAACCACAGTCTTGTGGGGGAGATACAAAGACCTATCCCAGTCTCAGACCTCAGGGATCAAATTCAGCTGGGAGAGACATAGTGATCAAGCCTGGTCTTCACTCTCAGGGGTCACAGTCTACTGCAGAAGACACAGGGGTCAGGCCGATTAGAGGTAGGGGTAGACAGCTTGGTCCTAGAAATGTGGGTCGAGTCTGCTCAACCTTTGCCTAACTTCTTCCTCTCAACACTTCAGGTGGAAGGCCTTGACCCTGACAATGTTAGAGCCATGGTTCGTTTGGCTGTGGGGAGCCGCATGGTGACTGTTAGTGAGTACTGCCTACAGCCTATCTCCCAGAAGGAATTTGACAAGAACTCCTTGGATCTCAGTAAGTGAGCCTCTTTCCTAGCTGTGGGAATTAGAGAAGCATCCCAGAGGGTGGCAGGGCCTGTCTTGGGCAGGTGTTAGATCTGCAGAGGGGAGGGGCAGCCAGGTCTGCCTGGCAGGTATGCCTGGTCAGAGGTCAGGAGGTGAGAATAGAGAGAGTGCTTTCTTCAGTTTGACTGAATAAAGGTTGACCTAGTAACCCCGAGTCTTTAGCCTCTTTCTAAAGAAGAAACAAGTGTGCAAACTAGTTCCTAGCCCCAGAGGTTTTTGTCTGTTTAGGGTGATGAACCTCTCTTTTGCTAGGGAGTGAGAACAGCTAGGACTGAGGAATAACAGGAGGAAGGCATTTTAGGCATGTTGGTAGAATGGGCAGTTTAGCAGATGGGAGCAAGTGGAGCTCTCCAGGACTCCTAGCCCACACTAGGCAGTTCATTCAGGTAGGCACTATCAGCACAGGCTGGGGCGATAGTAAAAGGAAGACTTCCTGAAGGAGGCCAAGGCAGTTGAGTGGAAGGGGAAAGCATCCCAATAGTCCAGGCAAAGGCATGATGGTAAGAGGGGACACTATGGTGGATGAGAGGTGACCCGAGGCTGAGGTATGGCCTGGAAGGAAAGAAAGTGAGATACTGAAGCTCTTTCCTGGTTCTCCCCACACCCTCTTGAATAGGCCAGGTGAGCAAAACTTCTCCAGGGCAAAAGAATGGAACACCCTCATCGTCACTAAAGGCCTTCCAGAATCAGGACCCCCCCACCCAGCGGAGAACAGAAGAGAGGAAGCGGAAACGCCTTCCAGACCGGTGGGGCCCTAAGCATCTTGGATGACAGAAGAAGATGAGGGAGTGGGTGGAGCCCTAAGCATCTTGGATGACGGAAGAAGATGAGGGAGTGTGGGGAGGCTCCACAGTCAGAGAAGGCTTCCAGGGCAAGGCAGATGCATAGAAGGAACTAGAAACGGCAGTGTGGGTGGGTTCTACAGCATCAACAAAGGTGAGGTGACCAGAATGCACATCCGACTGAGCTTGGTGTCTGTCCCATCTCCACAGGCAAGACAGGCCTCCATCCAAGAGTGAGAAAGTGGCCTCCAGGAGACAACACTGGTTGCACAGGGACCTGCGTGTGCGGTTTGTGGATAAACTGCATAAGGGTGGGCAGTATTACAACACCAAGGTGGGTACCCCACAGCCGAGGTTCACTTTTTCCCCTAGGGATTGAACCCCTTTCACTGTCGTAACATTCTCTCATCCCCTGACCCTCTCCCCAGATGACAATCGAAGATGTCCTCAGCCCAGATACTTGTGTATGTCGGACAGATGAAGGCCAGGTCCTGGAAGGTGAGTGTGAGGGATGGCCACTGGGTTGTTACCATCCTAGAGGCTGATCAAGAAGGCTGCCTGCCCTAGCTGGGTGGCTCAGTTGGTTGGAGCATCATCCAGTACACCAACAAAAAGGTTGCACCTTTGATTTCCAGTCAGGGCACATACCTAGGTTGCAGGTTCAATCCCCAGTCGGGGCACTTATAGGAGACAACTGATTGATGTTTCTCTCTCACATTGATATTTCTCTTCCTTCCTTCCTCCCTCCCTCCCTCCTTTTGTCTCTAAAAATCAATGAAAACATCCTCAGATGAAATTTTTTTTAGAAAGGCTGTCTGAGGCCAAGAGCCTGCCAAGGCAAAGGCTGGGAGATTGGGCAGTTAAGGTTTTTTGCAAGGCCCAGCATCCTAACACAAAATTAGACACTTATCTGAGCCTCACTTTCCACATCTGCAAAATTAGCACGGAAATGGCCTATTTCTCCTTACTGTGACTGGTGCCCTATAAGGGTGTGTACTGAGCTCCTCTTATAGGGCAGGGCTTACAACATGGTCACAGTAAAGTGTCTCTTATCACCACCGCCCATCACCATAATGTGTAAATGCCTCCTTTAGAACAACTATTGCTAGGAACTGTTCCTTAGGCTTCCTCATCTATGAAATGGGTATGGTGGGACTCCCATCTGTCATTAGGGTACAGAGTGGCCACAGGGAATACAGAAAAGGCCCTTCTGACAGGACTCTGGCTGGGCTGGCCCTTGGCTGCAGACCTTACTCCCCTCTCTTTCTCTGTAGGTATCAGGGAAAACATGCTGGAGACCCTCATCCCCAAGGTCCAGGGCAAACAGGTGATGGTAGTGCTGGGACCACAGGCTGGAAGGGTAAGTCCCAGACCTGGGAGTGGGAGCATGCAAGGGATGTGTTAAGGTCTGGGTTGGCCTAGCTGACTCTGCCTGTCCATACTCTAGGTGGGCCGTCTGCTGGGCTGGGACAGAGAGCAGAGCCAGGCTGTGGTTCAGCTGCGGAGAGAGAATCGACTGGTAGAGCTTCACTATGATGCTGTCTGCGAGTACAGGGGCCCCAGTGACTCAGATGAAGACTGATCCATGGACTCATTCAGTTCCCCAGGCAGTTACCAGTTCTGTACAGTGTAAAAAACCCATGTTTGTGAAGGTGGGGAGGCCATTGTCCACCCTGTACTTGGAGTGCAGCCCTGGGACAGGGACAGGGCACAAAATGGATAGACCAGAGGGAGGCTGGAAACAAACCTAGTACTTACCAGCAGTTAGTATAAAATAAAAACCATTTCAAATACTTAGTAAAATGAAGAGCTTATAAGTGGTGTGCTGAGCTGTGAGTGGAGGTAAGAGCCACACTGAGGTGGGAACCATTTCATTTTTCAGCCCCATTGCCCTGCTTGGGCTGCCAGACAGTTTAAAGGATTCATCCATCCAGGTGGCTCAGTTGGTTGGAGTGTTGTCCCATACACCAAAAGGTTGTTGGTTTGATTTCCAGTGAAGGTACATGCCTAGGTTTTGGATTTGATACCCAGTCGGGGCACATACAGGAAGCAACTGATCAATGTTTCTCTCACATCGATGTTTCTTTCTGTCTCTGTCTCCCCTCCCTTCCTTTTTCTCAAATCAATTAACATATCCTTGGGTGAAGATTTTAAAAAAAGAGAAAAAAGGATCCATGCCCTGGGTGGTGTGGCTCAGTGGATTGAGTACTGGTCTGCAAACCAACGAGTCGCTGGTTTGATTCCCAGTCGGGGCACATGCCTGGGTTGTGTGCCAGGTCCCCAGTAGGGGGTGGGTGTGTGAGAGGCAACCACACATTGTTTCTCTCCTTCTCTTCCTCTCCCTCTCTCTATAAATAAATAAATAAATAAGTAAGTAAATAAATAAATAAATCTTTAAAATAAAAATCCCTGGGTGGTGTGGCTCAGTGGACTGGGCACGAGCCCGCAAAGCAAAGGGCCACAGGTTCGATTCCCAGTCAGGGCAGGTGCCTGGGCTGCAAGCCAGGTCCTCAGTGAGGGGTGTGTGAGAGGCAACCACACATTGATGTTTCTCTTCCTGTCTTCCCTTCTCTCTAAAAATACTTTAAAAAATGTTTAATAAAAAAAATTTAAAAAATGATCCATTTGCTCACAAGCTCACTTAGAACACAGAAGCTGTGAAATCTATCCCCTAAGCAGATAATATGGAGTCTGGAATACCTCTGGACAACTTTCTAAGCAAGAATTCTAACAGTGACTCTGCTTCTAGTCTTGGTTCGGTGCAGATGCCCAGATGATAACTTGAGCCAGTGAGGGGAGTCAAGAGGAAGGGAAGCATCTACCTGTGAATGGGATGTGTTAGGACTACCTTTCAGAGAAGCCAGTGAATTTCATGGGCCCTATTTTAGTCCCAAAACTTTGGTGAGGGTAAAAAACTTTTGTCTGTCTCAAGTAGAATTTCTCTGGTTGCTCCAGGTAACTGGAGTCTAAAAAGGTTGTCAAAGACAAAGAACCTTCAGACTTTTCTGTTTAGTGGTGTGGGATACAAAATGAGCAAGGGAAGTCAGCTTTAGGCACAATTGCTTCTGAATCATCCCCAGTCACTAAGTTGTTGATGTAATAAGTACAATTTGAGTTAGATCTAGGCCACCAGTATAAATTCCTGATGGGTTAGAATGTGGCACAATGCTGAAGAATTTAAACACCCCTAGAGCAGGATAGTAAAGGTAAGCTTCTGTCCCACTAAGCAGATGCAGACTGCTGTTTAGAGCCTAAATTAGCTGGCCACATCAATGGCCATGTGCCCCTAAAATAAGAGATGACTAGAAAACCTTCCAATGTTTACCAACTCCAGCATGAACTACACTTGCACACTGATTTACTTTTTCATCACCCCTAATTAATTCCAGAACTCATATGTGTTTTCAAGATTGTCCAAACAGGGTTGTTCAGGCAGACAGGGACAAACCTGTACTCCCAGTTCCTCCAGTTCTCCAGTCATCGTGGTTGCACACGCTACCCTTTGAATTCCATGCTTGGTTGTATTTTAATCCTGGGGGGAAAGGTTGGGGTTCTAGAGGTTCCCAATTTGGCACATTCAGTAGTCAGCTTACTACACTGTATGTGCTTCACCCAGTCAAGAAGGCCTACTCCTTTCTCCAAATCATAATAAGTCCATCTTGTTAACACTCTTGAAAAGGGCTCAGATCTCCCAGGGGGAGGGTACTGGTCCCCTGTGTCTGCTCTGCGACATGGAATAATCTGTCAGTTTTGGACAATCTCTTCATCTCCTCCATGCACTATGATAATTAAAATAGATGTTTCATCAGATTTTGATTTCTTGGAATTAATGTTTCTTCAAAGCCTGTCTTTGAAAATGGCCTGAAGTTCTTGAATACTGCCCCATGTCCAGAACACTAAGCCCTAGGCAGAGTGCCTGGCCCCCCCGACAGACCATAGGGTTTTTCTTGTGCCTCCCCTGACAGGATCCCTCTTGGTCCCTCAATTTGAAGACAGAGCTCCTTACATTCTGATAAGTGTGGACAATATAAGGCGCCGTTCCCAATCTGTCCCTTGTTTATTGTGCCCAAAGACTTGTTTCTCAAGACCCTTTGAGTCTGCACCATTCTCTCTTGGCTTGCTGCCTGGCGTTTGCCTGCTGCCAAGGTTGCCCCTTGGGCAATGGTTACTACAGCAACAGTTTCCATGAGTCTTTGAATTCTCCAGGGACCACTCACAAGGTGGGGACTGTGATCCATACAGTCAGTCCAGACTGGCTTCTTCAATATTACAGGGACTGAGCTAGATGTGGATGAAGAAGTATCTGCATCTTCTGCCAAGTCCCAGAAGTTTCCCTGGCAGCATGCTGTCTCTGTTGAAAACTGTGCAGACACTGATCAAGGAATCTGTGGCATCAAACTCAAAAAAGCAGCTTCTTGGCCCTGACTGATGTGGCTCAGTTGGGCATCATTCTGTGAAGTGAAATGTCGCTGGTTCAATTCCCAGTCAGTACACATGCCTGGGTAATGAGTTTAGTCCCTAGTCAGGGTGCGTGTGAGAGGCAAGTAATTGATGCTTTTCTCTAGCAACAATGTTCTTTCCCTCTCTTTCTCCCTGCCTTCCCCAAAATTTTAAAAGAGAAGCAGCTTCTCAGCCTTTCATACAGAAGTAAATTATTTGGGTGTTTGGGAGTACCTCCTATGGCTGAGCTTCATGGCAGGTATATAGAGATAGACTCTTTTGACACACCTTCTTTGGCTTGGGGATGCTCCCCTCCACTTCCTTATTGAGGCCTCTTGACCTCCATGTCTAGCACCACATAGAGGGATAAGTACCTGACACCTTAGAAAGCTACATGAGGTGGGTTCTCACCAAGTTTATTCAACAAGCATCTATTGATCCTCTACTGTATGCCAGGTACTGTTCTGCATCTAGGGATACAGTAGAAAGTAAACTATTTCATCCAACAAATATTGAGTTCCTACTATATGCCAGGCATGAATTTATGTACTGGGGGTTTGACCATGAACAAAAAAAAAAAGATCTTTGTGCTTGTGGACCTGACATTCTAGTAGGGCTGAGAGATGATGAGTGATAAGCATAAGAAGGAAATTATTCAGGTGATAAGAACCATAGGGAAAAAGAAAGAATAGCAGAATAAAGGGGATCTGTGGTGAGAAGATGTCAGGATTCATAGACTGGCCAGGGAAGGCTTTACTACAGAGGTGACACTGAGCAAAGAAAAAGGAAGTGAGGGAGCATAGTGCAGCTATCTGCAGAATGAGTGGTCCAGGCAGGGCAAACAGTGGAACTGCTGTGTGGTGGGATCATTGCTGGTGTGCTAAGGGGACAGTGAGGAATCCAGTGTAGCCACAGGGGAGGAAATGAAGGAGACGGAGGTAGGAGGTCAGGTCAGATAGGCAGTGCAGTGCTCTGAGGACAGACACACTGCACAGCCACACTCAGTACACCTGTCCCTCCAGTGCTTTGGTCAGCTGGGCTGATATTTGCTTTTTGGAACTGATTCTCCCACTGGCTGCTCAGTAAGGATATTAGCCTCAGTCTTGGGAATTATCTGCCTTCCCAGACTTTAGAGGGGTCTTCAGTACGTGACTTCCACGCACCCCTGGTCTTTTACCACTTCTCTGGGAGAGTTATCATTGCCTTCAGATCACCAGACACCAGCAGAGAAAGGAGAGAAGTGCCACATGTGTCCTCCAGTTTCCTTACAGCATTTCAGTAAGAGAACTAAATGCCACATCTGTTGTTTTTTTTTTTTTTGCTCACTAATCTTTTGGGAGTTCTGATATTCCTCATAACATCATCCCATCTGGTAATAGCTGTTCATATTTGGGGCTCTAAGAGATTATTTTTTATGCCTTCTAACAGAAACATCACAAAGTGACATGGACACGGAAAGAGATGGTGGTGGCCTATGAAGGCAGAAGAGAAGGGTTGTATTATTTCTAAAAAAAAACATGTATATACCTGTGAAACCATCACCACAATCACGGTAGTGAACATATTACCTGCAGAAGTTTCCTCTGCCCCCTGCTAATCACTTCTTTCTGTCCTTCCCTTATCCCCAAGCAACCACTGATCTGCTTTCTGTCATTATAGTTTAGTTTGCATTTCCTAGAGTTTTCCATAAATGAATCATTGAATATGTACTCTTTTCTGTCTGACATGCTCTACAAAATTATCAGAGATTCACCCATGTAGTTCCATGTATATTCACACAGCATAGAATCCACCTCTTTAAAGTGTATACAATTCAGTGGTTTTAGTGCACTCAGAAGGTTGTATAACATCACCAATATATACTGCCAGAACATTTCATCACCTCTAAAACCAACCCCATACCAATTAGTACTCACTCTGTTTTCTCCTCCCCAAAGCCCCTGGCAACTACTAAAATACTTTCCATCTCTACAGACTTGCTTATTCTGGGTATTTCATAAAAGGAAACACAACCATACAATATGTGGCCTTTAGTGTCTGGCTTCTTTCATTCACCATGTTTTCAAGGTTGGTGCATGTTATAGTATGTATCAGTACTTCGTTCCTTTTGTGGTTTAATAATATTCCATTGTATAGATATACTACCTTTTGTTTATTCATTCATCTGTTGATCGGGATTAGTCTTTGTATGGACATATACACTTCTTTTTCTTGTGGGTACATGCCTAGAAGTAGAATAGCTGGATCATATAATAAGTATACTATGTTTAATATTTTAACTGCCAATATCCCAAGTGTCCAGCACAATGTAGCATATAGTGAGATTTTTATGAGTAATTGCTTTATAAAGAATAATTGACTTTATGACAAAAAACCAAACAAACCTGCCAAACTGTCTCCAAAGGTGATCATACCATTTTACATCCCTAATAGTGTAAGAGTTCTAGTTCCTCCACATCCTCATCAATTTTTGGTATGGTCAGCATTGTTTTTTAAAAATTATATATTTTTATTTTTTTAATTTAAACTTTATTGTATTTTTCCACTATCATTTAGTCCCCTTATACTTCTCTCCCTCCAGCAATCACCACTGTTGTCCATGTCCATGAGTCCTTTTTGCTTTTTGCTCACTCCATCCACCCCCTAATCTTCCACCCACTAGCTGTCATCTGCTCTCCATCTATGAGTTTTTCCTCATTTTCCTTGTTAGTTCAGTTTGTTCATTAGATTCCACATATGAGTAAGATTATATGGTATTTGTCTTTCTCTGATGGACTTATTTTACTTAGCATTATGTTCTCCAGGTCCATCCATACTGTCCCAAAAGGTAAAATTTTTCTTCTTTTTCACAGCCGAGTAGTATTCCATTGTGTAAATGTCGTATAGTTGTTTTAGGTATGGTCAGCATTTTGATTTTATCCATCCTGTCTGTGAACATACCACCCTTAATGTGCCCGATCTCATCTAACACTTTTTTTTTAAGCACCATTTTCTCCTAATTCTGACATCTGTGTCCATTCTAGGCCAGTTTCCATTTATTGATTATTATGGGTCATGTTTTCCTTTTTTAAAAAAAAATAACACCTTTTGTCCTGGCTAGTGTGGCTCAGTGGACTGACTGCTGGCCTGTGAAATGAAAGGTTGCAAGTCAGGGCACATGCCTGGGTATAGGCCATGTCCCCAGCAGGGGACGTGGAAGAGACAACAGATCAATGTATTTCATGTTTCTCTCCCTCTCACTCCTTTCCCCCTCTCTAAAAGTAAATAAATCTTAGAAAAAAAAATAGTATAATAAATGAAAGAAACCAGTCACAGAGGACCACCAGCATATTGTATACTTTCATTTGTATAAAATGTTTAGAATAGGCAAATCCATAGTGATTTGAAAGTAGATTAATGATTGCCTGGGCTGGGGTGGGAGGAGCATGGAAAGGGCAATGACTGATAAGAGGTATGAGATTTCTTTTGATGGTGATGAAAATGTTTCAGATTGTGGTGATGATTGCATACCTCTGTAAGCATACCTTATTTTTAGTTACTTATTTTTTTGTAGAGAGTAAAGTTTTTTATTCACTCTCTAAGAAAGGAAAGGGGCATGGTGTGGACAGATACACCAGCTGTAAGTATACTTTATTTTTTAAAGGCTTTATTTATTTATTTATTTTTAGAGAGAGGTGAAGGGAGGGAGAAAGAGAGGGAGAGAAACATCAGTGTGTGGTTGCCTCTCACACACGCCCAACTGTGTGGTTGAGCAGTCTCAGAGATATGGGAGTGACAGAAGCCAAACTGAATTAAATTAATATGATCTGGGACATAAAGAAATATAGCAGAAAGCCCTGGCTAGTGTGCCTCAGTGGATTGAGTGCCAGCCTGCAAACTGAAAGATCACTGGTTTGATTCCCAGTCAGGGCACATGCCTAGGTTGCAGGCCAGGTCCCCAGTTGAGGATGTGCGAGAAACAACCAAATGATGTTTCTCACCCTCTCTTTCTCCCTCTCTTCCCCTCTCTCTAAAAAGAAATAAAGTTCTTTAAAAAAAAACAAATATAGCACAAAGAAGTCCAGAAGACTGGCTTTCCTGAGGAGCATAGCAATGGAGTCACTCCATGGATGTTAATAACACAGTACATGAAACAACCTAGAGAGATGGCCATCAGTAGAGGAACAGCTGAATAATGCTACATTTATTCCACAGAATATCATAGTCAGTTTAGATGGATAAATTAAACAGATGTCCACAATATATTAATAATTTTTAAAACAATACTTGGGAAAAAGTAAAGATGGGTGGATTATATCAATGCCAATATCCTGAGTAATATTTTAGTATAGTTTTACATGTTACCTTTGGGGGAAACTGTTAAAGTACAAGGGATTTTTCTGTATTATTTCTCAAAACTACATGTGAATCCACAATTAACTCAAAATTTAAAAGTTACATTAAAAAATTTCCATTATGTAGATAATTAGGGTCTTTTCCCCCCACAGTAAACACACCTCTTGCCATCAAAACAGCATTTTCACCCTGGCCAGGTAGCTCAGTTGGTGAACTAGATATGCCAAGTGCGGGTTCCATCTCTGGTCAAGGCACATACAAGAATCAACCAATGATTGCATAAATAAGTGGAACAACAGATCTACGTTAGTCTCTCCCTTCTCCTCTGTCTCTAAAATCAGTAAATCTTTTTTAAAAGCCCTGGCTGGTGTGGCTCACTGGACTGAGTGCCAGCCTGCAAACTGAAGGGTCACCAATTCAATTTCTAGTCAGGGCTGCGGGCCAGGTCACCATGGATGTTTCTCTCCTCTTTCTCCCTCCCTTCCGCTTTCTCTAAAAATAAATTTTAAAACCTTTTAAAAAATAAATAAATGTTACAATACCATCTTCATTTTGTAAATAAGCCAAGAGCTGGCTAGGAAAATCCCATCCCAGGTTTCTCAAAGACAAGAGTGAACGGTCTCAGCTTTCAAAGTCCCCAGGACAGCCTCACGCCTGGAGGGTTCCTAGACTTCTCTCCAGGTGTGGACAAACTACGTATTAACAAGGTGGGCCACTGTAGCCCACCTCGGAAGTCTGTGTCTTATTGACCCAGGAAGTTGACGCCTGTAAGCCTTCTGAGCAGGACCGAGGTGGGAAATTCTCGGCCCTTTCCCGTTCAGCAAGGGGAAGACTCTCTAGGCCACCCCTCTTCCTTCCCCTCAGACTCTCGTGGCCATGGCCTTGCCAAGCCTCCTCCACTCTCCGCTCCTTCCTAGGAGAACGCAATTTTCACCTGCGTTGTTCCAAAGCCACAAAACTTGGACCAGTAGGGCTGCGGTCTCGTCTTACAGCCACGATGAGTCATTTCCGGTGACCGACTCCCTCCCCCGGAAGTGAGACCCAATGTAAACACCGGAACCGGGTGTCAAGGCCCTGGAGGTCAGAAAGCCGGGCCGCGGGCGGCACCGAGAGCTGTTCTTGGGGTCGAGAGGCGCGGAGGTCAGGTCAGTACAGGTGGAGCGGAGCTGGGACATAACCTCAGAATTGGTCGGGGTTTGGGGCTAGGCTGGAGGCCTTTTGATCAAGGGTCTTGGTGGATCAGGGGATCTAGAACAGAGATCTTGAGGGGGCGCGGGTGTTGGAAGGAGTTTGAGTGCTGTCTTGGACATGAAGAAATGCTGGAGACTGGAGGCTTTGTGTGAGGCATCTCAGGGCAGGGTTCTTGGGTGGCGCCGATCTTTGGAACGGGAGTCCAAATAAGGGGGTCTTGGAAGATGGGGCTGTCAAAATAATGGATCTTTGGGGAATGAGGTGGTCCGAAGGAGGTAGTACAGTGGGGAAGGAAGTGGGCGAAGCTCTTGGAGCACAGAGAGGCGTAAGTCTGGGCAAAGGTCTTGGGGAGGTCCGAAATTGTAGGAAGTATGGGGGGTTTAGGACCAATATCTTAAGGTCTGGGGCAGGAGTCTGGGAGGTTGAGTTATTTCAGGTAGGGATTTTGGGAGGTGTGTATCCTGGACAACGGTCTTAAAGGGGTAGGGGTGTCTTGGGATAGGATCATGGAGAGAGGATAGGGGGTTTGGAGGAGGAATCTATCAACATAAGAAACATTCAGACCTGTTGAGAATTTTTATGAGTTTATTTGAGCCAAAACTGACTACAGTTGCCAGGAAACAACATCTCAAATGTTTTAGAGAATAATGGTTTGAAGTTTCTTTTATGCATTTGAGATTAAGATGAGACCATAAAGAAGATTACACATGAAGGTGGAAGAAATCTAGGTGAGGATCAGATTAGAAAGGGGGTCTGAAAGGTGGTATTTCAAAGGTGTGTTAATCTAGATTCAAAGAAACTATTGGAGAGGGCTTGCTGAAGGCAAAGATAAGCCTTTTACTAAAGAAGTTATATGCCTGGGACGTGACTACCCATCATGACCTGCCCAGTTAGGAATTTGTAATCAGATCATCCAGTGAGGTTAACTATCTATAGAATCCCTTTTTTTGTTCACAGATCTTAAGGGGACAGGATTCCTGGGGGTAGGTCCAAGTCAATCCATGTTGGACTTGGGGATATCAGAGCACATTGAAGAGGATGTCCCCAGGGTAGGAGATTTGGAGTGATAGGGGATTCTGACATAGGGTCTTCAGGGCATAAGGGAATCTGGGGAAATATCCAGGGTGGTCCTGGTTGGGCAGAAGTTAGCCCATCTCGAGGTAGTCAAGGGATCCTTAAGGGGTTTGGAGAAAGTTGCGAGGAGGGAAGGTGTGAGAGCACTCTAGGGTGGTGGAATAGGTTGGAGGGGCGGTCAGAAGGGCATGAAGAGGGGAATTCCTATGGGTGGTGAACCAACCATAGCTGGTCTTAGGGCCAGGTCATGCAGGTGCAGGAAGAGGTGGATGTCCTAGCCTCCTGTCCCCATTTGTTGACAGGTAGAGTTGGGTGCTCGATTCAGGTATGAAGATGAGAAATGGGTGGGGGTGAGTCCAGGCCATATTGGGCACTGGGGCCAGGATTGCCTGGGACTGGAGAGGAGATGTTACTGGGTCATTTACTGTCCTAATACTTTCTGACAAGCCATTTGTGAGGGCTGGGAAGTAAGGAGGAGGTGTTGGTTCCAGGTAAGGGTAGCCTTGAAACTGGCTGTGAGAAGATAGGGAGGTTCCTGGCTATGCTGTTGGGAGTCTTGGGAGCTTAGAGTGGAGACCCCAGGACTCTTTCCTCTGTTTTTGTCTTCTTTGCAGTCCTGCTGGGCTTAGTAGAGTGGGAGGTAAAATAAGAAATCAATTAGGGGCAGGAGTTCTAGGACTTGGAAGGCAAACAGACCCCAGGACTCTCCCCAACCCTACCCCTACCTACCTCCAGGAAAGCAATCCTGGATCATGTCCCAGCAGCCACTTCGAGGAGTGACCAGCCTGCGTTTCAACCAAGACCAAAGTGAGAAAGACTTGTGCCTATACCCTTGTGGGAGGGAGGGAGGAAAGGTGAGAATGGTCAGAGGTGGTTGTTAAGCAACCCTAGCTTCCCGCCTGGGCATCCTTTGGGGCAGCCTGGATTCCTCCCATTCCCCAGGCTGCTTTTGCTGCGCCATGGAGACAGGCGTGCGCATCTACAACGTGGAGCCCTTGATGGAGAAGGGGCATCTGGGTGAGCCATCAGTGGGGGTGAGGCAGTGGGCAGAAGGGGTGAAGGAATGGGCTGGGCATTGGCTCCCACCCCTGCTAATACCCTGATCCTTGTCCAGACCATGAGCAAGTGGGCAGCATGGGCCTGGTGGAAATGCTGCACCGCTCCAACCTGCTGGCCCTGGTGGGCGGTGGTAGCAGCCCCAAGTTCTCAGAGATCTCAGGTAAGTGCTCTCATTTCATCCCACCCTTGGCCCAGATTCCCTGGAATCCTAGCTTCCCCCAGGCACCCCAAGGCATTGGCAGCTGAAGATATCAGAGCACCTTAGAGTCACACAGTGAAGCCTACAGCTTAAAAGTCATGGATCTTATAGCTTAAGAAGCTTGATGTTTTCGCTTCACTTAACAAACATTAATTCAATGCCTCCTGTATGCCATGTCTTTACCTGCAGGGTGCTTGCTATGAGCTTGGTACTTTTCTAAATACTGCACGTGAATTAACTCATTTAACCCTCACAATAACTCTGTGGTGGGTGGTATCATTATCTCCATTTCTATGGATGAAGAAACTGAGACCCAGAGAGGTTGAGTGACCTATTTAAGGTCATACAACTAATTGGTTTTAACATCTTCAAGCTGTCTCCCCAATGCCCACTTGCCTTGACCCTCAAGTGCCATCTTATTTTAAGAGTTTTTTAAATTGCATTGGGACATGGCAAGAGACTTGCCCTAGGCAAGTGACAGAGCCTAGTATTTCTCATAGAAATCTTAGGAGTACAGGGACTAGGACCTTGGAGGCAGAAATAGTTAGTGACAGGAAATTACAGGCCTGGGTATGAGTCCCTGCTTGGCTGCTGATGGGCTATGAGGTCCTTGGCCAAATACTCAATCCCTTCAAGCCTCAGTTTCCTCACTTATAAATGGGTACAACAGTTCTAGAACCTGTTCTCTCAGGAATAATGCCCACAAGTAGTCATGCTGTGTGAGGCTTGTATTGGGTGTTAACAAAAGGTTAAACAAGTGGGTTGAGGTCCCATGGGGAGTAGGGGTGGGTCTTGTGTCACCAGGGATGCCCTTCACCTTAAACTTTGGCCCCAACAATGCACCCACCTGCCCAGCAGTGCTGATCTGGGACGATGCCCGGGAGGGCAAGGACTCCAAGGACAAGCTGGTGCTGGAGTTCACCTTCACCAAGCCAGTGCTGGCTGTGCGCATGCGCCATGACAAGTGAGCCTGAGGAGGACTGGGGGTGGGGGGCAGGTAGGAAGTCCCCACAGCAGGCAAGAGGATTAGTCCTGCCTGGACATTCTGCCTTCCCTTCATGGCCATCCGGTGTTGTGTGATGCCCACAGAATCGTGATTGTGCTGAGGAACCGCATCTATGTGTACTCCTTCCCTGACAATCCCCGAAAGCTGTTTGAGTTCGACACCCGGGACAACCCAAAGGGTGAGAAGACCCAGATATGCAGGAGTAAGGGCAGGAGGCAGTGGATGGGGTGGAGGGGAGAAAATGAAGAGCAAACAGAAGGGGCACACAGAGAGAGAAATGGGAAAAGAGAGTCAGGGAGAGAGTTTGCACAGAGATGCTCAAATGGCCTGAGATGATCATATCCCTTATGTGTCCATTTTTCCATCTCTTAGCCAGTTCTCTCTCCCCATCCTAATCCCTGCCCCACCCTTTGATGCCCCAGATATCAGAGCAAAAATACCTACTAAGCATATAGGTGGGTGTGTCAGGGATCCCTGGGCCTCTTGGGGCTGCCACAGCTGTGTAAGCAAGAAGGGACTATACCTTCCTGGTGGGGAGCACAGCTGAGGGCAGCACCCTGAGGGTTCTGTGGGTAACATGTATCATGGAAGGTCAAAGTCCAGTCCTTATCCAGCTCTGTCCATTCTGAGACCCTGCCTGGCCCCTGCTTCCCTTTCACCAGCCGCCCCCCGCCCCAACTTCATCTTCACACCCTAGGGCTCTGTGACCTCTGCCCTAGCCTGGAGAAACAATTGCTAGTGTTCCCAGGACACAAGTGTGGGAGTCTGCAGCTTGTGGTAAGTTTCCCAGTGGGCAGGGGTGGATAGGTGGGTGGGCTAGTTTTCCCTGTGGACTCTGAAACCCTGCCGTCCTTACTACCCAAGCCCAGACTGTTCCTTCCCACCATAGGACCTGGCAAGCACAAAGCCTGGCACTTCATCTGCTCCATTTACCATCAATGCACATCAGAGTGATGTGGCCTGTGTATCCCTAAACCAGCCAGGCACCGTAGTGGCCTCAGCTTCCCAGAAGGGCACTCTTATTCGTCTTTTTGACACACAGTCCAAGGAGAAACTTGTGGAACTACGCCGAGGCACTGACCCTGCCACCCTCTACTGGTGAGCACAGGGAATGCATGGTGGGCCAGCAACTCCATGCCATATGACATGCTGGCGACATTGCTGGTCTGTCTTCCAGTATCAACTTCAGCCATGACTCCTCCTTCCTCTGCGCTTCCAGTGATAAGGGCACAGTCCATATATTTGCTCTCAAGGATACCCGTCTCAACCGCCGCTCTGCGTGAGTATCCCCATCCCCTGTCTCACCCTGCCATGTCCCCCTCCCCCTGCCCATGTATCACACCTGGGCTAAGTTAATACTGCTTGCCCTAATACTGCAGGCTAGCTCGAGTGGGCAAGGTTGGGCCTATGATTGGACAGTACGTGGACTCTCAGTGGAGCCTGGCAAGTTTCACTGTGCCTGCTGAGTCAGCCTGTATCTGTGCCTTTGGTCGCAACACTTCCAAGAATGTCAACTCTGTCATTGGTGAGTGGGACTAACCCTTGACTGGGGGTATTGCATGGGCAAAGGCCTGCAGGTTGGACCTAAAGAATTTTAGGGAATATAAAGCTTGAAGAAGCTAGAATGGGTGGTTCAACTCCATTATCACCAAGGGGAATGGCATGCAGGCAAAGGCTTGGAAGGAGACTGTAGGCCATGGGACACCTGGATTCAAATGTGTGGCTGCAGCTTCTAATTTTTTATTGATCTTCCCTCCCCTCCTCCAGCCATCTGTGTAGATGGGACCTTCCACAAATATGTCTTCACTCCTGATGGAAACTGCAACAGAGAGGCTTTCGATGTGTACCTTGACATCTGTGATGATGATGACTTTTAAGGACCCTGTGTGGGTTGTGCTAGGGACCTGCAGTGGCAGAGTGCAAAGCATTTATGGGGGTGGGAGTGGTGGAAGCCACCAGCCAGCAAGCACTAATGGGGTAGGTGCCCACTTTCCACTCCGCAGAGCAATGCCTAAACAGCTCATTTCCCCCAAGCACTTGTTGATGATTATGCCCTTAAGGACTGTGTGCCCACAGAGCCAGGCCAGGTACTCAGACAAGCAGCAGATGTCCTGGGCTCCCAACCTGGAGAAGACCAGGGACCCTGAGGGAGTGCCCTAATCCAACCTGTGGGGATTAAAAACAAACAAACAAAAAAAAAAAACAACACCTTCCTAGAAAGAGCCAATCTTTGGTGAATATGAATAAAAAGCCCTTAATAGTATTTATGGCTGGACCTCGGGGGTGGGACCTGAAGGAGATGAGGCTGAAAAGGCACTGCAGGAGTTTCCAGGAAAGGTGTAACCCTCTTGGACAGGAAGGAGGTGGGATCGTGCTCCGGTCCGTCTGACAGTCGCTGCCGTCATCTCTGCTACCTCCGTTTGCCTGGTTACCGTTACTGCACCGCCAGCGTCGCCTGGAACAGTCCCTCTTGGGCCCCTGTCCGGGAGCGCATAAGAACTCGCTGCGGATACTTAGTTTCCCTGCAGCCCCTGCTGCCTTACTGTTCCGGTATTTGCATTCCCGGTCACGTGCTTTGCTGCGCCTGCGCTATCCATTTGGGTGGATAGGGTAGCAGCTGCCCCGCCCAGACTCCATTTCCCAATGTCCGCTGCAGTGGCGCAGGGAGTAACGGGCATTGTAGTCCGGCTGCTCTTCTGGCTGGTCCAGCTACATCGACTTGCAGGATGTCGGAGGTGCGGCTGCCACCACTACGCGCCCTGGATGACTTCATTCTGGGGTCCGCGCGTCTGGCGGCCCCGGATCCATGCGACCTGCAGCGATGGTGCCATCGCGTCATCAACAACCTCCTCTACTACCAAACCAACTACTTTGTCGGCTTCGGCTTCGGTCTTGCGCTGGCTGGGTGAGGGAGGGAGGCGCCAGTTGGCAGGGGATGCCTGCAGAATATAGAGGGTGGGCCCGTGGGATTCTGAGAACTGGGGAGGGGAGGCTGCAAGGTCCGGAAAGGCACATTCAGTAGAATTGGAAAGCCTAAGGTGCTTGGGAGTGAGGGGACTCGAAGTGAATGGGACCTAGTTATAAGGAGGGCCTGGGGTTGAATACAGCTGGCTGAGGAGGGCCTCAGCGAGTTACTGGGACCAGAAGGAAGACCCAGGGAAGATGGAGAACGTGAAACTGAAGGGGAAACAGCGGGGAGTGAAAGCTTTAAAGTGGGTCGTGAGTGTGTCTGGGGGCGGTGGGGCAATGTTACTGATGGGGTCAGTTTAAGGGGGCCCTGGAGGCCTTAGGGCAGGGACAGGACGTCGCTGTGGTGGAGTTGAAGGGTTTAGAGAGTGGACTTGTGGAGGATCTAGGTTTGGAGGGGAGTCTGACTGGAGCACAGTAGAAGCAGGTACCTGTTGGGGAACTTGAGCCAAGAGGGAGGACCCAGGGATAGGAGACCTGAGAGCAATAGAGAACCTGGAGGGGTTTGGGTGGGGTTGGAAGTTAAAGGTGGGGTCTAAAGCCTGGAAGGGGGTCCTTTAAGGACCCTGGGCCTGGGAGAGGGAAGTGTGTTGACACAGGCCTGGAAAAAGAATCTGCAAGGGTTGGTTGGGCTCAAATGGTGGGTTTGGGGGCAGGATGGGGTGGAGTACTGGAGAGGGGACTTGCAGGGGTAGGGTCAGAAAGACTGGAGAAGGAGCCTATCGATGTGGGAGGGGCTGAAGCTCAGGAAGATGGGGCCGTAAGATTAAGAAGAAGAGAGTTGAAAACCCTGGAGGGTGGACCTATTGGAAATGGGGCTGGCGGGAGGGTCCAGAGAGTGGGGACCTAACCTCTTAGGGCTTGCATGGCAGTCTTGGGAGGTTTAGAGGCCGGACGGCTCTCTCCTCGACTAATCTACTGGCGTAGTTCTGTTGTCCCCGCAGGTACGTTAGCCCGCTGCACACCCTCCTAAGCGCACTGGTGGTGGTGGTGGCCCTCGGGGTGCTGGTGTGGGCGGCTGAGAGTCGCGCAGCCGTGCGCCGCTGCCGCCGCAGTCACCCCACCGCCTGCCTGGCCACGGTGCTTGCCGTTGGCCTCCTGATTCTCTGGGCAGTGGGCGGCGCTTGCACCTTCCTGCTCAGCATTGCCGGGCCTGTGCTTTGTGAGTCTCCACTACCCTGAGTTAGTGGGAACAAGGCCAGCGCTTGGCGCCAGGCTGGCCTTGCCTTGGTTCCTGGGCGGAGAGGGGGCTGGGAGGACCCAGTGGGTGTGGCCACACTCCTTTACAAAGCACCTTCCCTGGCTTTGCTCTCATTGTTTGGGAACGCCCTTCTTAATACCGCTTTTCTGGCCCTCTCTCCTGGTATTAAATTTCTTCCACCAGCCACATCCCCCGTACTGTGTGCCCTCCCTGACCACGCCCCTGTTGCCAGGCGTTGCTCGGCCACAGTTTCAGGATCAGAGGTGTTCTGTCGACTGACCAGTGGCCTGCCTGTGCTGTTCCCCTTTGTGGGCCGCCATTGGCTAAAGGCTGATGTCCTATTCTACTGACCACTGACCACTCCTTTCGGTGTTTCCCGTAGTGATCCTGGTGCATGCCTCGCTACGCCTGCGCAACCTCAAGAACAAGATTGAGAACAAGATTGAGAGCATTGGTCTCAAGCGGACGCCAATGGGGCTGCTACTGGAGGCGCTGGGACAAGAGCAGGAGGCTGGATCCTAGGGCCCTGGGATCTATACTCAAGACCTGGAGAATGCCACCCCACCCCAACTCATAACCGGGATTCAAAGCACTTTCCAACCCTTTAAAACGGGAGCTCCTTGTCCATTTCAAAGAGCAGGACATCTGTAACCACCCCGCTGCATCAGCCCCCAGATCCAAAACTGGGATAACCTTCATATCCAGTCCCCATTACCCAGGGGACCAGAGTCTTCCCCAGCCCTGAACTTGGGACACAGAGCCACCCACATCCAGCCCAAAATGGGCTTGAAGACCTGAATATATGTGGCCAATGCCAAACTGGACAGAGACACTCCCCTAACCCCAAACTGGGACCTACTTGTCTCCCATGCTCAACCCCAAAGCTGTGGGATGTGGGACCAAGGCATTCTCAAATTTTGAACCTGAGACCAAGGTTTTTCCATGCCACAGCCCAGCTTTGAACCCAGATCAAAGCATTGCCAAATCTTGACCCTAGGACCCGAGTTTTCAGTCCCCCTCTGAGTGGAAATCAGGTATCCTAACCCTGTTGAACCCTTGGTCCCAAGTAACCCCACTCACCAGACCCATTTGCCTCCCTCCAGCTCTGCTTAGAGATTCTGCCTCTCACCCTCTGCCAAAGTTCCACAATGGCGAGGGCCATGGGGGTGGGGGTAGCCCCATCTTGGAATGAAGCATATATATATATATATATATATATATCAGTGTTGCTGCAGCAATAAAGGCTGTTATATGGCTCAAGCCAATTGGGCCTCCTGGATAAAGACTGCACATTTCAGTGGGCTATAGCGGCCTTTTGCTTTTCGATTCTGCTAAGACTCTTTCTGATTGGGTCTCTCTGTGAAATATGCGGGCTGATGTGGTGAGCTCTCCTTCTGGGAACCAGTTACCATAGCAGCATTAGTGCACAGGTAGTTGAGGGCGTGCAATGTTCCCATTATCATTTGTATTACTAAGGGCTCTTGCTCAGGGATAGCCAGGAATCTGACCACAGACAGGCAAAGAGTTGCCCCACATCACAAAACAAAACCAAACTGATTGACATTATCACAGACTATTCCCATGGTTTTATATTTTTCATAACACAGTGTTAAAAAAAAATCATCTGGTCTTAATTATGGGTGTGGGTCCCAAGACAAAGCAGGGAGAAGAACAACACATGGGTTCAGTTTACACATTTATTCTAGAAATCCCCTTCCAGTGTGGGTAGTGTGTTGGGCCCCAGGTTCGTTGGTACAAAAGAAAAGTTTAACATCAGGTTAACGGGGTATGGGGACCCCCCCCAGTTCCAGAAAGTCATAGACAGGTATAGAAAACACAGCTTGTATAGATTTGTTTAAAAAGTGGTGGATGGAAGGAAAGCCAAGGAAGATGTGACGCAGCCTGCGGCCAGGCGTCACCTGAGGATTTTACTGGCATCTACCAAGTTCCACCACGGCAGCATCCAGGACACAACACGCCCAAGGGCTCTGTCCTTGGGCCCTCCTGCAGAGCCTCCAGAGTAGAGATAGTCAGGGAAGAGGCTGCCGCCAAAGGCTGGGCCATCTCACCCTGGAAGCAGAGGAAGTGGGCACAGACAGGCAGATAGAGACTCCTTCTGGTACCTCTGGAGTGGGAAAATGAACCCAAGCCCCCCACCCAGATTTTAGTCCTTCCAAATGTAGGCAGAGAGCTTAACTCCCCAACAAGTGCCCTTGAGGGGGGGCAGGGAGTTCTGTTCACATTAGAGCCCCTAGCTGCCCCAAACAGGGCCCTGCAACTCTATATGGTCCACTTTGTGGAGGGGGTTCCTGAATGGAACAGGCTGGGCATAGGACAGGGATGAACCCAACCAGATGAGATCACAGTTTCCCTTTTATAAAACATCTAGTGTTGGGGAAAGACAGTGAAAACCTAAATCACGACTGTAAACAGAAATGGAGGAGGCTTGGAACCCCTACTACACCATCCCCCTCTTTCAGACTGTGAGGGCCCCCAGTACCCAGCACAGTACAAGAGGAGAAGCAGGGCATCAAACACTTTCATGGGCCTACAGGGAGCCAGGGGTAATGGAAGATCAGGTTGGCGCTTCCCCGACCAGGACCAAGAGCAACCACACCCCAGGGCTCAGCGAGGTCAGCTGTGTGCTCTCCAGACTGGAGTCATGCCCAGGCCAACAAGGGGCATATCAGAAGGGTTCAGACCAGTGTCCCCGGGGTCTGAGGGTCAGAACTGGAGGACTGCTCCCCCTCTAGCGTCAGGTCACTTAACCGAGCGCTCAGCTCCGGGGGGTACAGGAAGTCCACGTAGTATCTTTAGAAGGGGTAGCAGGAATCCGGAGGACAGGGTGGAAAGACAAAGAAGAGAGGAAAAGAGGCTCATTAAAGAGGTAGAGGGAGGCACAGGACAGCACCTTGAGGCTCAAAAGCATGGGGCGTGGTGAAAAGAGGAAGAGAAAAATGAGGGCACAGAATGTCCCTTCCTCCCAGCACCCTGGTTCCAAGGTTCATCTTCAACTGACATGCAATGGTTGTTAAAATATTAAAATTCATCTACATCTTGGTAAAGAACTGCTGCTACCAGGGCCCAAGATACCC